GCGGCGCGGCGGCGACCAATGAGCGCGCTCGCCGTCTCCGGGAGCCGGGCCGGCTCTGCCCGCCTGGCATTGGGCACGCGGTGGGCAGCGGCGGGCGGGGCCTGAGGGTCCTGGCGCCTGGTTGGGCCAGGCTTGTTGCTGGGTAACGGGGCGGCGAGTTTCTCCTGGCAACGGCGGCGGGTACCGCTCACTGGCTGGCCGGGGAGGGAGGCGGGTGCGGGCGCGGGCAGGCCCCGCGGAGCCCAGCAACAGCGCGCGCCCCCCGCCCGCCCCGCCGGGAAGCGGTAACCTTCACACGCGCACCGGCTGCCCGCTCGGACCCTGCGGACGCCCCCCCCCCCCTGCCCTCCACCCGGACCCGGGAGACACCCTCCTCCCATCACCGACTCTCTCAGGCCGCGCCGCCGTTGAAAAGTTAAGTCCTTCCCAACTCCTTGTCTCCAAGCGGCTACACCTTTCCTTGATGGCGCACAACCCGACAGCCTGGCCGGCGGGAGGCTGCGGTGTGACATTCCTTTTCTGGAACCCACAACCCGCCCTTTCCGGGAGACCCTGTTCCACGTATATGTCACACATCCTAACCCAATAGATCTCCACACGGTAGTTTTCATCCTACCGATAGGGAAACTGAGGTAGCCAGGGAGAGACAGGAAGCTACCCAAGCGGGTTAGCTACAGGATCTGTGTGTTTATTTATGTATTTTTATTTTTTATTTTGTCTGTCGTGAGGCCTGAACTCTGGGCCTGGGCGCTGTCCCTCAGCTCTTCAGCTCAAGGCTAGCGCTCTACCACTTGAGCCACAGCACCATTTCCGGCTTTTTCTGCTTATGTGGAGCTAAGGAATCAAAGTCAAGGCCTCATGCATGCAAGGCAAGTGCTCTACCACTGAGCCACCTTCCCAGGCCCTGGACACTGTCCTTGAGCTGCTTTTGCTCAAGGCTAGCGCTCTACCACTTGAGCCATAGCACCACTTCTGGCTTTTTCTGCTTATATGGCACTGAGGAATCAAACCCAGGGCTTCGCAAGCACTCTACCACTAAGCTACACTCCCATTCCCTTTGTTTTGTTTTTGTTTTGGTTTTGGGGGCTTGAACTCAGGGCTGGGTGCTGTCCCTGAGCTGCTTTTGCTCAAGGCTAGCACTCTACCACTTGAGCCACAGCACCACTTTCAGCTTTTTCTGTTTATGTGGCACTGAGGAATCAAATCCAGGGCTTTATGCATGCTAGGCAAGCACTCTACTTCTAAGCCACATTCCCAGCCCTAGCTCCAGAATCTGAAAACACTGGCCTTAGTCTATTGGAACAGAATTCACATTCAGAGCAAGGAACTGAGCCAGTGGTTCACACCTGTAATCCTAGCTACTCAGGAGGCTGAGATCTGAGGATCTTGGTTCAAAGCCAACCCAGGCAGAAAAGTCCATGAGCCTCTCATCTCCAATGAACCACCAGAAAACCAGAAGTGGCACTGTGGCTCAAGTAATAGAGCACTTACTTGCCTTGAGCTGAAGAGCTGAGGGACAGTGCTCAGACCCAAAGTGCAAGCCCCACAACAAAGAAAAAGAAAAGCCTAATACATTCCAGCATGTCTGGCCTGGTAGTGACTCCCACAAGAGGGAGGTACAGGCTAGCCCCTGAGCTAGCAGAGGAGAATAGCTGCCCCTCCCCCTTCATTGCTACCAGTCTCAGAACAAGCAGTGACCACAATTAGTTATGCAAACATTTATTAGGCTTTTGGTCAGACACTGATCTCACAAAATAAGTGTCACACTTTCCAAATGTCTCCAAACCACCTATAGCCAGAAATACACCCTCTATAAACTACTATGTACTGAGTATATATAATAATTTTTTTCTTGATTTCCTCCTGATTTATTTATTCATTTGTTACTGTTAGTTTTGCCAGTACTAGGGACTTGAACTCAGGGCTTTCTTAGTTTTCTTGCTCTTGGTACTGCTACCACTTGAGCCATGCCTCCAGCGTGACTTTTTCCTGTATTTTTTTCTTCTATATGTGTATGTGTGTGCCCATACTGAGACTTAAAACTCAGGGTCTGGATGCTCATCCTTAGCTTTTTCATTCAAAGCATGTACTCTTACTACTTGACTAGCAGTCAACTTTTTGCTGGTTAATTGGAAACAAGTCTCATGGACTTTCCTTCCCCAAGCTAACTTCAAACTGTGATCCTTAGATCTCAGCCTCCTGAGTGGCTAGAATTACAAGTGTGAGCCACTGGTGCCCAGATATATTGTAGTTTTTGTTTGGTTTGTCTGGTAGCACTTGAGTTTACACTTAGAGCTGAACATTTGCTACACTTGAGCAATGCCTCCAGACAGTTCAGTTTCAGTTTTTGTTTTGTTTTTTTTTTTTTTTTTTGTCGGTCATGGGGCTGGGCGCTGTCCTTCAGCTCTTCAGCTCAAGGCTAGTGCTCTACCACTTGAGCCACAGCGCCTTTCCAGTTTTCTGAGTGGTTTATTGGAGACAAGAATCTCCTGGACTTTCCTGCCTGGGCTGGCTTTGAACCGTGATCCTTAGATCTCAGCCTCCTGAGTAGCTAGGATTACAGGCATGAGCCACCGGCGCCTGGCTGTTTTTGGCCTTTATAGGCAAGCATCTTGCTATAAAGGCCAAGCTAGCCTTGAGCTCATGTGGTCCAGACCCTCTATGATCACTTGCTTTTGTAAAATTTGTTAAGCATGCCTTCTAGAAACAATGTATTTTATTTTTGTGTGTATTCTGGTCCTGAGGCTTGAACTCACAGAGCCTGGGTGATATCCCCGAGTTTCTTTTGCTCAAAGCTAGCACTCTACCACTCAAGCCACAGGTCTACTTCTGGCATTTTGGTAGTTACTTGGAGATAAGAGTCTCAGGAGCTAGCTGGATACTGGTGGCTCACACCTGTAATCCTAACTACTAAGGAAGCTGAGATCTGAGAATCACAGTTCAAAGCCAACCCAGTCAGGAAAGTCCATGAGACTCTCATTTCCAATTAACCACCTGAAAACTGGAAGTGGAGTGGTGGCTCAAAGTGGTAGAGTGCTAGCCTTGAGAAAAAGAGCTCATGGGGCTGGGAAGGTGGCTCAGTGGTAGAGTGCTTGCCTTGCATGCCTGAGGCCCTGGGTTCGATTCCTCAGCACCACATAAGCAAAAAGAAAAAAGCCGGAAGTGGTGCTGTGGCTCAAGTGGTAGAGCGCTAGCCTTGAACTGAAGAGCTGAGGGACAGTGCCCAGACCCAGAGTACAGGCCCCAAGACCGGACCCAAAAAAAAAAAAAAAAAAAGAGAAAAGGATCTGAGGGACAGTGCCCAGGCCCTGAGTTCAAGCCCTATGACTGACCCCCCCCCCCCCATAAAAAAAAACAAAAAAAAAAGTTGCATGGACTTTGAACCTCGACCCTCAGATCTCCCCTGGTGCCCAGCTAAGAGTACTTTACATAACTTTATCTCAGTACAGTGTAGTAAGAAGGTCCTGGAGGTATAGCTTAGCAGTAGAGGGCTTAAATAGGTCCTGGGTTGAGCCCCAGCACCATCATGAAAAAGAAAATGCAGCTGGGTGCTGGTGGCTCACACCTGTAATCCTAGCTACTCAGGACGCTGAGATCTGAGGATCAGGGTTCAAAGCCAACCTGAGCAGGAACCACCAGAAAACCGGAAGTGGCCCTGTGGCTCAAGTGGTAAGAGTGCTCACCTTGAGCTGAGGGACAGCGCCCAGGCCCAGAGTTCAAACCCCATGACCTCAAAAAAAACAAACAAACAAACAAAAACTACCCTGGCACCTGTGGCTTAAGCATCTCATCATTATCCTAGCTATTTGGAATGTTGACATCTCAGGATCTGGGTTCAAAGCCAGCCCTGGAAGGAAAGTCCATGAGATTGATCTCCAATAAACCACTAAAAATCTGGAAGGGGAGTTTTGGTCTAAATGGTAGAACAACAACAAAAAACCAAGTCAATCAAGAGGGTCTGGCCCCGAGTTATGTGCTGGGCCCCCAGAGGTGAAGGTAGGGTCACTTTGGGTGAAAACCAAAGAGAACACCAAGTGTTCTCCAGGCAGAGTGCTGGGGAGGGAAGGTCCTGTGTGTGGGGAGTGAGGGGGGGGAAGTGACAGTAAAGAAACTGCAGAGAGAAAGGGAAGGAAGAGCAGCCGCACGCTGGAATAGGGTGCGGGGTCTGCCCGGGCATGTCTGTGCCAGGTGCCCGGGGGCTTTCTCTTCTGCACCAGTCCACTGTCAGACTCGTGGTGAGTGTGGCCGGGGTGTGCCAGCTCGGGAGTGGGTCCCGCCAAGGTGCCAGCAGCCCGTGACAGGTGTGACTTTGGGGCTGCCCCGTGTGTGTGTGTGTGTGTGTGTGTGTGTGTGTGTGTGTGTGTGGGTGAGTGGATGGGGGAGGTCAGTGTCTGCGTGTCTGACTGGATCTGTATGTCTGAGGGTCTGGCGTGGACCCTGCGGGGGCCGCGTGGGAGGGCTGCGCGCACACCCCCACTCCCCGTCACAGGTGTCCCGTGGGGAGTGGGTCCGGCCGTGCCCCAGGGGCGCACTTTGCAGTTGTTGGGGCTGTCTGGGAACTGTGAATGGGTCTGTCCACCGGTGTGGGTGTCCGTGTCACCGGCCGGCGGGGGGGGGGGGTGTCAATCTGGGTTGTGGGGCGTCAGGAGGCTGGTGTCCCGGGCGCACAGCCTGAGACTGGCCCATCCCGTCCCCGCGGGGCCCGGGCCGGGTCCCAGTCAGTGTGTCAGTGTGTCAGCGGGTGTCGCCAGGCCAGGCCCTGCCCCGGCCCCTCCCCGCGGCGCCCCTCCTCCCCGCCCCCCGTCCCCCCTCCGGCCCCCTTCCCGCCCGCCCCCTTCCGAGGCAGGGAAACCCCGGCACCGGGACAGGGGGCGCGGCGCGCGTCTGCAAGCCCCGACTTGCCCGCGCGGGGGCGGGGCCGTGACGTCACGCTGTGGGCGGGGCGTGGGCCCGGGCGGGGGCGGGGCTGCGCGGGGCGGGGCGAGAGCCGAGCGGGGCGCCCGGGATCTGCCGGGCGGCCCGAGAAGCGGAGAGGGAGAGCGGGAGCCACATGCGATCGGGTGCCGAGCGCCGAGCGGCCGCGGCGGCAACAGCGACACCACCCGAGTGCCCGGCGCCGACGGCCACGACGCGGCCGCGGGGAGCGAACGCAGCCACCAGCGGCGCTGCGGTCCGATCGGCGGAGGCAGCGGGAGCCACTCGGCAGCGGTCGCCGCGGCGAGCGGCACTCGGCGGGCGCGCCCTCCTGAAGGAAGCCGCCCGCCCCCCACCGCCGCCCCCCTTCGGCGTGTTCATGCCCCCGGGGTGAGTGTGCGCCCCCCCCCCCCACCCCGAGCCCCACCGGGGGTGGCCGGTCAGGCAGGGTGGGCTTCCTGGAGGAGGTGGCTGGAGCGCATGCTTCCGAGCTCGGGCGCCTTGCCGCCCCTCACGTGTCGCCTTTGGCCTTTACGGGGAGGAGGTGGTGGTCTCCGCTGGGTCCGCCAGGCGGGAGACCCTTCCGCGATCGGACGCCCCAGCCTGGGCGCACAGGTGCCCCAGTGGCCTGGCGGGTTTGTTTACAAACAATGGGGTGCGGGATCGCGCGCGCCCCCTGGTGGCCAGTGCGTTCCGGGGACGAGCGGACCCCAGGTTGTCCGCGTCCCTGAAGTCCGAGTGGCGGAGGGAGGTGGGGGTGGTCTGGGGTGGGGGGGGAGACGCGGGAGGGGGGCGGCTCCGAGGGGCGGCCACACCCAGGGCGCGCGCCCGCCGGGGGCGGCGTCGGGGGGCGGCTGGTGGGCCGCGGAGGCTGCGGCTCCCGCGGGCGGGGGCTGCGCCCCAGCAACAGCCGGTTATTGGCCCCGCGCTGGCTGGGCGGGCGGGGCGGACGCACGTGGCGGCGGGGGAGGGGCCGTGACAGCGGAGCGGGGCGTCTGGGACGGCGAGGAGCGCGCGCGCGGGGCTGTGGATCTGCAGGTGTCTCGCCTGGGTGTGTGCGTGTGTCTGGCTCCGAGTTGGCGCTGGGGTCGGCGGAGAGTCGGGGTGCCAGTCCAGAGGAATGTTGGCATTTGTGACCCGTCGCGGTGTAGGCGTGAGTGTCCCCATCTGAGCGTGGCCTCCGCGGGTGGGCTGGGATGTACCTCTGTGTGTGTGTGTGTGTGTGTGTGTGCGTGTGTGCGCGCTAGGAGAGTTGTCTGTGTGCTGTTTGGGGTGATGGTGTGTGGTGGTGTGTAGTTGTGCGCATGGCTGTGTGTGTTTACGTGTGTCTTGTGTGCACTAGTGTCTCCAGGGCTTCTGAGGGGTCTGCCTGACAACACCCCGCTGGTGGGTTTTCTTTCCAGGTGTCTGAGTAGCGGAAATGGGAACTGGGGGAGTGGGGGTGTCTGGAAGCGGTGATGGGAAGGGGGCACCCAGGTTTCCTGGGGTCTGTGCAGTGCCCCGGGGAGCGGGGTGTTGCGGGCAGCCTCCGTGTGTGTCTGTTGGTTCTGAGGGTTTGTCACTGAGATCCGATGGTGGTTCATGTGTCATGTGGCTGCGTGTGTGTAGTGTTTATGTCAGTCACGTGAGACCAGTGTTTTAGGTGTGTTGGGAGGGCTGTGTGGATTAGCGCGCGCGCGCGCGTGTGTGTGTGTGAGTGCGTGTGTGCTGACAGTTGGTGATGGTGTTTTGGGGTTGGGAGAGGAGGGCGCGCTATGTCTGCCGTGCGGTGGGGCTGGGGCGTCTGTGTATCTTTGCCTGCAAGTGTGGCAGCGCATCTGCGTCTGGTGACACGCGCCTGATTGACGTGTCCTGGGGGCTGGGGTTGGTGGTGTGGAGACCCGTGTGTCCGCCTCGGGTTGGACAGTGTGCGTCCTCAGGGGTATCGTGCTTATGTCCTGGTTGTGTGTGTGTGTGTGTATGCGCGTGCGCGTGCGTGCGTGGTGTTTCTGTGGTTGTTGTGAGGGCTGCATTCTGTGTCTCTGGGCAGACCCACAGTGGGTCAGTGTGTGAGATTCTGGATGTGAGGGAGGAGGGATGCGAGGTGCAGTGTGGGTTGTGTGGTCCTTGTTTTGGGGTGTGTGTGTGTGTGTGCTGAGTGGCAATTTCATGTCCCATCTCTCAAGTGTGGGGGTCAGGCTGGCCAGTTTGGTGTCTGCGTTGTATGGCGTCCACACACGCCCCATTTACACACTACATTCCTCATTATTGCGGTCCTGTGTCTCTCCCCCACACACCCCCGTACCGCCCTGCGTTCTCCCTACTGTTGGGAAAGTTGTCCCCAGCCCCCCACATTCACTATTAGTCCAGTGAAGAGTTTGCCCTGTGGGGCTGTCCCAGCCCCCAGACGCGCAGACACACTCCCTCCTTTGGGGTCCTGGCCAGCCTGTCCCTGTGACCTCCCCTCGAGGGGTGTGTCTCATGGGGGTTTCCCCCACATGCATCGTGAGTGAACCCTGGATGTGTGCGGGGGGGGGGGGGGGCTACGCCTTACCGCTGAACTCCCCGTGTCCCGCAGGCCCCCGGGAGCGCCATGGCCCGCGCACGACAGGAGGGCAGCTCTCCCGAACCTGTAGAGGGCCTGGCCCGCGACAGCCCGCGTCCCTTCCCGCTCGGCCGCCTGGTGCCCTCGGCCGTGTCCTGCGGCCTCTGCGAGCCCGGCCTGCCCGTCGCCCCCGCCGCCCCGGCCCTGCTGCCCGCCGCCTACCTCTGCGCGCCCAGCGCCCCGCCCGCCGTCACCGCCGCCCTGGGGGCGCCCCGCTGGCCTGGGGCTCCCCGCAGCCGGCCCCGAGGCCCGCGTCCAGATGGTGAGTGTCTGCCCCACACCTGGGATGGGGGTGCGCCTGGAGCCCCTAGACGCTCAAGTGGAAGCCGGGGGGGGGGGGGGGAGAGGGGAGGGGGTGGCCAGGCCGGGCGAGGGGCCACCTGGAGGGTGTGGCCAGTGGGGTCTTTGTGTTTCGAGAAGCAGGAAGACTGAGTGGAGGCCGGGATGGAAGGGCGGTGGGGTGGGAAGTCCCTCCTGGAATCTGACTGCCGTCCCCCAGTGTGCGGCACGGGGCGTTTTTTCAGGGCCTGGGGGCGACAGCTGTGTCTCAGCTCCCCTCCCCCAATCGGGGTCCCCAGGACATCCCCCCCCCCCGGAAGATTGCAGTGGGTAAAAGACTGGCCAGGATTGGGGGGGGGGGCTAGGAGGGCCTGACGGTCACCTCTGCACTTTGAGGAGGGGTCCTGAGCCCTTCAGCCGCTATTGGCCTCGGTTCGGTGGGAGCCGGCCCACCCTGCAGCCCCCCTAGCGGAAGGCGAGGGGCAGGGGCCATTGTGCTGGGAAAGTCCCCTGGGGAGGGAGCCCGTCAGGGGAGGGAAGGGTTAAAGGTCCCCCTGCCTGTCGGGCTGTTTAACCCCGTGGTGCCCGGCGGCGGCGGCGGCGGGCAGGGCCGTCCCAGCCCCCACATAGCCCCCCAGAACCCAGCGGGGTCCAGCCAGACGAACTTCCGAGCTCAGTTCCTGGATATGGGGTGAGGGAACCCCCCTGATTTCAGACCCACAGCTCACAGAGGTGGAAACCGAGGCTGCACCTGGGTTGACAGGAGGAGGGGGGGGACCCCCAACGCGGACCCGGGGCGTTGTGGGACGGGAAGGCCTCTCCCCGATCCCAGCCCCCACGCCATCCTCGGGGCAGCCGCCGTCCGGCCCGCGGGTCCTCAGGCCCGTGCCACATCCGGGGGTGGGGCCCCCCTGTGGTCACACCCGGGCACGCTGGCGACCCGAGGCTTCGACTCTGGGTGGGGCCGGCGTGTGTCCCGGGGTGACCTTGCCCCGCTCCCTAGCGCCGGCCTCGGTTTCCACACGGAGAAGGCTGGGTGTAGCCCAGGTTGGGAAGGAGGGGGGCACTGGGGGGCACTGAGGTCGGCCAGGTGACCCCAGCGTCTCGGGCCGGGGGAGTCTGGCCTAGGAGGGGGTACGGAATAACAAAGCTGCAGACACGGGGCGGGGAGCCGAGGAGAACCGCGGCGGCTGGGCCGGGTGGCCGCTGCTGACCGCGCCCCGCCGCCTCCCCCAGGCCCGCAGCCAGCTCCGTCACCGGCCGACCCGCACCTAGAGTCACCGGTGCCCAGCGCCCCGGAAGCCTTGGCGGGCGGCCCCACCCAGGCGGCCCCCGGAGTCCGAGGGGAGGAGGAGCAGTGGGCGCGCGAGATCGGGGCCCAGCTGCGGCGGATGGCGGACGACCTCAACGCGCAGTACGAGCGGCGGGTGAGTGCGGGGCGGGGCGGCGGCAGGTGGGACTTCCCGCCCCGCCAGATGTGCGGCAGCTGCTGCCCTGCGCGCGGGGTCGCGGCGGGGACAGGCAGGTGGGGGGCGGAGCGGGGCGGGGGGGGACGGGGGTGGAAGCGGCCGGAGGGCCCGAGACCGGGCCAGGCAGGAGCGTGGCCCTCGCCGCACTGCACCGCGGGCCCGCGGCCGCGGGGACTGAGGGCGGCGCTCAGCGCGGCCGCTGCTATATCCACGGCTATTTATAGCCGGTGAGTCAGCAGCGCGCCGCGCCCGCGCGGCCTCGCCCCGCCCTTCGCGCGCTCGCGCGGCGCCCGCAGCGTCGGCCCACCAGCCCGGCCCCGCCCCGCCAGCGGAAGGCTGGGGGGGGAATGGAAGGGGGGAGCTGCGTCCCGCCCCGCCCTTCCTCCGCTGTGGCCCCGCCCCTCTTCCGCCGTGGCCTCGCCTCTCCCTCTGTGGCCCCTCCCCTCCCCGGCATGGCCACGCCCATCCTGATGAGGCCCCGCCCCAGCCTGGGCTGCGCTGTGTCCCTAGCCCGCGTCCCGCCTAGGCTCGGCTCCCTCTGATCATCTCACCTGCTTTGTTTGCTTATTAACAAAATAAATAAATAAAGCAAAAACTGCTGAACCCTCCTGAGCCCGGCCCGGAGCCAACCCCGACCTCGCACTCATTCCCCGTTCCTGGCAGTTGCTGGCTGCTGTGTGGCCCTGGGTTGGCCGGCTGCACCCTCTCCGGCGGGGCCAGGGCTCCTGTCCCTCCGCGCCCTCCCCTCCCCCCGGCGACATGGGTCCCAGTAGAGGCAACACGTGTCTCTCTTTGCCTTTATAATGCTCAACGTAGATTTTTAAAAAGCCTGTATAATTTTACTGTCCCCCCTTTCATTTCAGTACCGCGCACCGCGGGGTGTGCTCAAGGGTTGCATCCCCAGGATAAATATCTGGGGGCTCTGTGCCCTTCCTGTTTGCGGTGTCCCACAACACAGACAGTGACAGTTGTTCTTGTCTGAGCAGCCCAAAGTCCCCTTTGCCACCTTCTCCTGCCTAGTCTATAGAAAGTGCGCAGAGAGGGCAGTAGTCTGAAGCTGGTAGCCCTGGGTAACTGCAGGCCGGGTACTTGAGGGCTCTTCATACTTTTTAGGTTTTTTTTTTTTTTCCTTTCTCCCTGTGTAGTCTAGTCTGGCTTTGAACTTGAGATCTTCCTGCCTTTGCTTCCCAAGTACAGGGATTACAGGTGTGCCCTTCCATGACTGGTTCTTTGTACATTTTTAAATGTTGCCTTTAATTTTCCTGAAGAAAGAGACCAACACTGTGGAGACAGTTCTAGAAGTTATCCCATGTCATTTTCCCACCAGGGAGTGAACAGAGGTTTCCCTGCACCAAACCCAGCTTTGTCCCCAGAACACTTCCATAGCAATCTTTCCCCAATTGTCCTCCTTCCAGATTGTTCTAGAATCACTGTGGCCTCCCTGCTGCATTTACTGCCCCAGCAGCCAGGAAGGACTGTGAGCCAGCCAGTCCCTCGGCCCTCCCTCCTGGTCTGTTGTCCTAGGAGGGGCAGACTTGCCTAGATAGAAAACCAGAACCTGATTAGGGTAGGTCTGGGCCCTTTGAGCTAAGCTTCCAGTCTTACCCTTCACCCTGTTACCCAAGTCTATGTGTGTTGCCTACCAGTGCTGGGGCTTGAACTCAGGTCCTGGGGACTGTCTTTTAGCTTTTTCACTCAAGGTTGGTGCTCTACCATTTGAGCCACAGCTCCACTTCCAGTTTTTTTTTTTTTTGTGGTTAGTTGGAGATAAGAGTCTTATAGACTTTCCTGCCCAGGCTGGCTTCAAATCCTGATCCTCCGATTTCAGCCTCTTGAGTAGCTAGGATTGCAGGTATGAGCCATTTAGCCACTCATTTTTTTTTTTCTCTCTCTCTCTCTTTCCCTAGAGACAAGAAGAACAGCAGCGACACCGCCCGTCTCCTTGGAGGGTCCTGTACAATATCATCATGGGACTTCTGCCCTTACCCAGGGGCCCTGGAGCCCCACAGATGGAGCCCAATTAGGCCCCTGCACCCACCCTGTGGACGTTGGAGACTTGGGGGGCAGGACCCCCCCACCTCCTGATGCCCTGGCCAGCACGGGGGACCTTTTCTGCTCCGTGTAGCAACCTGCCTGTCCAAAGGGCGGACAGGGCGGCCACTGCAGCCGCAGCCAGCCTGGGTTCGCTGACGGAGGTGTGGACTTCAGAGCCCGGGCCAGAAGCTGGGAAGGAGGGCAGCCGGGACCTCAGCATGTGGAGGCGGCGGTGACCCAGGGGTGGGGACCGAGCCGCCCGCCTCTGCCGCCCACCACCATCTCAGGAAAGGCTGCTGGTGCTGGCTGCCTGTTCCAGCTGCAAGGGGAGGACACTGGGGGAGGGGGTCTCCCCTGTGAGCCTTTACTTTGGGTCTGGCCTCAGGCCCCTGGTGCTTCCCCCCTTCCTCATGGGGAGGGGGCCTGTGAAGAGCAAATGAGCCAAACGTGACCACTAGCCTCCAGAGAATGGGGTGCTTCGGATGGCCCCCCCTCATCCCCAGCCATCTTCCCTGAGCCGCCGGTGGGCAGTGGGCATGCCTGCCTCACCTTCATCTGGGGGTGGCCAGGAGGGGCCCAGACTGTGAATCCTGCGTTCTGCCACCACCCCCATCCCCGTCAACCCATCGCATAGGTTTAGAGAGAGCACGTATGATCACTGGCGTTCATTGGGGGGGGGTGGGAGAGATTTTTGGCGGAAGCCGGCCCAGCCTTAGCCACCTCCCCCCAGGGTCAAGTGTTGTGGGGGGTGTGTGGGGGGGGAATGGCGAAAGCTGGGGTCCGGGAGGGAGGGAGGGAGTCTCAGAAGAGGGCGGAGTCTGGGAGCGGGGAGGGGTGGCCTAGCCTTGTAAAATACTGTACATGCGCTGCTGTAGATACGGAATGAATTTTCTGTACATGTTTGGTTAAATTTTTTTTGTACATGATTTTTGTATGTTTCCTTTTCAATAAAACCAGATTGGAACAGTGGATACTCTTTTTGCTCGCCTTCTCCTACACACACACACACACACACACACACACACACACACACACACACACACACACGTGAGCTTTTGTGCATGTACCCAGCATCTAGCATCTTTGCTCAAGTTGCTGACTGTTTTAGTCCCTTTTACCCCAAGAGGGTTTGTATGCACTAAGTAAATGGATGGACTCAGGTCTAAGAAGCCCACTGCATCAAGCACTGGATGCATTAGACTTGAGATATAACCTGGTCATTGTCAGGGGAGAGGGAAACATCTGGCCTGGTAGAGGACAGACTACCTAGATGCATCTAGGATCAGGACAAAGGCACCTACAGTTGCCCTAAAACCCTGCACCCAACCCGCAGGAGAGTCTCATGTTGACTTGCTATTACTTTAGGAGGGTAGATTGTCCAGAGCTGATAGCTTACATCTGAGGCTGAGATCTGAGGATCACAGTTCAAAGCCAGCCTGGGCAGGGAAGTCTGTGACTCTTATCTCCAATTAACCACCCGAAAACAGTGGTGCTGTGGCCCAAAGTGGTAGAGTGCTACCCTTGAGCAGAAGAGCTCAGGGACAATGCCAAGACACTGAGTCCAAGCCCCATGACCAACAAATAATGCTGGAGGTGTGGCTCAGTAGTAGAGGGCCTGCTTGGCAGAGTTCAAAATCCAGTATTGTCAAAAAAAAGGGAGGAAGGGCGGCTGGGAAAGTGGCTCAGTGGTAGAGTGATTGCCTTGCATGCATGAGGCCCTGGGTTCAATTCCTCAGCACCACATAACCAGAAAAAGCTGGAAGTGGTGCTGTGACTCAAGTGGTAGAGCGAAGCTGGGCACCGCTGGCTTACGCCTGTAATCCTAGCTACTCAGGAGGCTGAGATCTGAGGATCACGGTTCAAAGCTAGCCTGGGCAGGAAAGCCCATGAGACTCTTTTATCTCCAAAAAAACCACTAGAAAACCAGAAGTGGTGCTATGGCTCAAGCGGTACAGTGCTCACCTTAAGCTGAAGAGGGCAGGGACAGCGCCTAAGCCCAGAGTTCAAGCCCCATGACCGACCAAAAAAAAAGGTAGAGCAATAGTCTTGAGCTGAAGAGCCGAGGGACAGTGTCCAGGCCCACAGTTAAGGTCCCACCACTGACAAAAAAAAAAAAAAAAGAACAAATACTCCTCCTTGGGAACAATAGAATTATTGTATATGGTTAAAAGTGAAAAAAAGAAGCTGGGTGTTGGTGGTTCACTGATCCTAGCTACTCAGTAGACTGAGATTTGAGGATCATAACTGAAAGCCAGCCAGCCTGAGCAGGAAAGTCCTGTTAAGATTCTTTATCTCCAACTAACTATACTAGAAAACCAGGAGTGGAGCTAGGGCTCAAAGTGGTAGAGCACTAGCCTTGAGCAAAAGAACTAAGGGACAGCATCCGGGCCCAGTTCAAACCCCCTAACAGATAAAAACAAAGGTAAGTGCTTATGGACAAGCATGGTGGCATATACCTGTAATCTGTTTTCTTGGGGAGGCAGAAGAGAGTGGGAAATTTAAGATCATCCTGGACCACAAGATTCTGCCTCAAATTAAAAAACTCCCTAATTCCTTGCTAGCAGGGGTGGTTGACAAAGCCAGTGGCTAGGAAAAAGATACTATGGTTTGGTGCAGACTCCTGGCCCGGCCTCCTGGGGACTAGGATTGGACCTAAGCAGTGTGGATACTCAGGCCTATCTGCCTTAGCTGACAGCGTCCTGTCAGCCTCCTCTCAGCTAGGATTATAGGCGTGAGCTCTGGCACCCAGCTAAAGTGCAACTCTCTTGAAAGACCTATCTGTCAAGGGTAGGAACATTGTGAGATCAAGAACTTTCTAGAACCCTCCAGCTGGTCACGGTGCCCTACCTACCTGAAACATGGTAGGCACAAACAGGTAGTATGGGAGGTGATAATTTGGAGTGACTTCTTTCCAGGGCTGGCAGCTTCAAGTACTGCTGTCCTCTTCCCCAATCCCAGATGGGGTCCTCTGATAACTTAATCTCTGTTCTCATCCTTAGGGAGGTAGAGGGTGGAAAAGTTGGGAAGTGTCAAAATTTTCCTATTTCGTTGTCCAAGTTCAGGCCCACCTACGCCCCCTCGTGACCAAGGCTGCACATTGCAAAGACAAAGCTGTAATTAGCTCCAATTTTCAAAGACCCTGGGACCTGGCATGGGGCAATGAAACCGCTGACCCCGATGGTGCCAGGACTGCAGTAATGTGCCTGGAAGGGGAGCACTGCAGACAGGCCCAACAGGCCCAACCCACCCAGGGCAGCGGCAGGCCAAGGGCCAGGGATGTCCGCCCTCCTCCTGGTGGGGACCAGGGTTCCCTACTGATGGCTGCGCTTTTCCAGCAGGATCCTTGCCGGCTTATACCCAGACTCCACTACGCTGGGCTGATTCCCCTGGCTCCAAGTTTGTCCTCATTCTTGCCAATGATAAGATGTAACAGAAAGGGCTGGGAAGGTGGCCATGCATGAGGCCTTGGGTTCGATTCCTCAGCACCATATAAGCAGAAAAACAAATACAAAAAAAAAAAAAAGACCCCTACAGGTCCGACCTCCAAGTAAAGGAGTAAAGGATGGCATCTTCCCCTGATTTTTCTTCTGATCTGGAAGTTTCACCAAGTAGAGGAAACCAAATTCTAAAGCAAGTAACTTTATTATCATTTCTCACGAAACAAATGAAGAAAATGTAGAAAATAGCTATAACACAGAAGAGCTGTGGCTCCCTGCCCGGTGGACGGGCACAGCCTCGGCAAAGGCCTGCAGGGCCACGCGCCAAGGACAGGGCTGGCGGAGGAGGGCACCGCACCCACCAAGAACCAGAACAAGACTTCCCCAACACTGCAGGCAGAGGCGCTTGATGATGCTCTGGAGGAGCTGGAGTTCCAACTAGGGCTCCCCTGAGTCTGGGCCTAGTCCCCACCTGAAGTCACACCCCTCCTGTGGGCTCAGCTGAGGAACAGGGCTGAGAAGTCAGGAGGCAGGCTGCTCCTTGCAGGGAAGCTGGGCTGGAGCAGGGCTGTGCCACCCTCCCGGGTAAAGGACATCAACAGATGGTGGCAGGTGGCAGGCTTGGGCTTACTTGGGGCCCAGGCACTCCACGACCCCACTGCCCTTCATACCATCAAAGAAGAAGAAGTTGTTGTGTGGTGGGTCCCTCTGAGACAGGGCCTGTGAAGAGAAAGACAAAGTACCACTCAGCTCAAGCACCTTCTAAGAACTACAGAAACTGAATAGCGCAAGGGGCATATGTGTATGTATCTCAGCTGGGCCCAGAGGCCACTGGGCAATGTTGGGGGCCATTGCTAAGCCTTTTAATATCCCTCTGTCCACGCATAAAGTGGATCTCAGGCGGACAGAGCCTCAAGACACCTCAATGGAAAAGAAAGCACAGGAATTGTACTTAGGGCCTGGCCGGCACTCTCCTATGGGACTGCCCCCCCCACTACTTCCTGCAGCCTTTGAGCCATCTTTCAGCATGGGTCCTGCCTGGTATAGCAAACTCGGTGCTGTGGACCTGAGGGAGGGGACTTTGCACAGCTGCCCGCCTTCTCCGGTTTACTTTACGTAGGTGGTCAGCTGAGGCCACCACTGCTCCTGCCAGCTGGCTGCAGGGAAGCAATGCTAAGCAGGGGTGTGGCGGGATGAGAGCAGGGCACGGGGTGAGCGAGGGGCAGGGCGGGTAGGAGGAGACACAGCAGCAGGAATGTGCAGTACTCTGGCTGCCCGGTAAACAGAAACAAGACACTGGCCCACAGCTGTCCGCCAGCAGGAAGGAGGGGATGCACAGAAGCCCCTGTGCAGTGGGTCGAGGCCACCCGCCCACCACCCTCCACTGCTCACTCAGACTCAGACTTCAGGTTCAAATGTGGTTCCACATCCCCTCCTGGCCAAGAACTTATGACCCCAGCACTTAGGCGGTTAAGGAGGATGGCGGATTTGAAGCCAGGCTGGGGCTACACAGGGAGATCTCACCTCAAGAATCTTAAAAGATCCTCAGGAGGTTGAGATCCGAGGATCATATTTCGAAGCCAGCTTCCAATTCAACACACACACACACACACACACACACACACACACACACACACAC